ATGGTTTCGGTAGTGGAGCTATAGTAATCCAAATTAAACGTATAATATATTAATTTAAAGCATTGTATATCTAGTTTCTAAATATTCAAACTTCTCATCAATTAGATTTTTATTGAGCAAGTTATAATTAATTTACTATTGATTGTTCAATAGAAATAAAAATGTATGTGATGATAAAAAGAATGGTTCAACAGTGGGGTTACAGTTATCCAAATTAAGCGTATAATATATCAAATTAAAGCATTATTTATCTAGTTTCTAAAGATACAATCCTCTCATCAATTGGATTTTTATTAAGTTATGGTCAATTTACTACTGATTGTTCAGTGGAAACTCAAATATATGCGATGATAAAATGAATGGTTTACTTAACCCAAATTTAAGGGATTATCATATCAAGACTGATAAGAAATATTTCAAATAACACATATTAATTGGAAAATGGAATCAACCGAAATTAATTCATTTAACATATATACTCGCATATTAGCAGGACATAAACAATTAATCATTCATATAACAAATTAAAATACACGAATGTTTTTACAAAAAACATATTCAACACAAATGAACTATTTCTACTAATATAAATATAACCCTAGTTAGTAAATTCGCGTTTTATACGCAAATTATACGCCCAACCATATAATTAATGTATAAAACGCGAATTCCCGTATTCTATAAGCACAGCCGAATTATACGCGAATTATATGCTTTAGCCGTATAATTCGCGTATAATTCCCGTATAATTCGATCGTATTTTTAAAAATAAAATTTTATTATTTACTGAGCCAAAACGACGTCGTTTTAGGTGAAATTTGATCAAAACGACGTCGTTTTATGCTCAGTCTCTTAAGCGCGATGCCAGTCTCTTTTTGGCGCCTTTTCTTCTCTTTTCTGCGCCCGCTTCCTTTCTCTTTCTTTCTTTTGGCGCCCTCTTCTTTCTTCTTCTCTTTTTTTGTGCCCTGTTTCTCTCTTCTTCTCTTTTTTGGCGTCTCTACCTCTCTTCCTCTTCAACTATTCTTCAACAAACACCACTGTTCGTCTTATCTTCTTCTTCTTCAACTTAAAAGACAAATAAAATTATTTGTTTTATTTAATAATTGGTCACTTCTATAATATTTGTAATAATAAACTAAAATATTATAATTAAAAAAGATATAAATCATACACCTATAAAGAAAAATAGAGAATAATTAATTCAATGATCATAAAAAATACTAAAATCAGGATTAATATTATCGTATTTTTCAAAATGTATTATTGACAATATACCGTATTAAACCCGTATATACCTGTACCGTATTTTTCCCGTATCTGAATTTTAAGGGCGAATTTTTATAAACGTATTTTTCACCGTTTGCCGTATCATTCCCGTAAAATTCGTGTACCCTTTTTTTACCGTACCCGTATTTACTAACTATGGATATAACACATACTCACAGTTCGGCTCACAATATGATCATCCTCGATTTGATCTTAATAAAGTATATGAACATTTCCTTGAAAACAAACATAACAAAATTTAATCGATCTTCATATTAAGATTGTTAAGGAACAATTATTCATTCGTATAACAACTGTTACCTAAAAGTGAAATCAACAAAAGTTAATTAATCTTCATATTATAATTGTTAAGGACTACACTTACCGTTCGGCAGGACTAACACAATTAATCATTCAAATAAATTAACCGAACAAAAACAATCATTCAATCAAATAATAACTGTTAAAATAGTTAGGAGATATACTTATAGTTTTGTATTAAAATATTTAGAAGATATACTTATAGTTCAAAAGAACAAATCAAAATAACAACTCATTTGACAATGTCAATCGGACATCCTGTCTTTATTCCATGGCAATTCATGAATCTTTGACCTGTAAACAACAAAAAAAATCTAAATAAATAAAAAATCATCGATTAACAAAATCATGAAGAAACAAATGTATTATTGACACAAAGTAACATGACATATAAACAATTAACAAAAGACTAGATGTATTGTTGACACCAATTAACATATTGCGATAATACACAACTGAACATATGTCCCTTTTATAACCCCTTATTTAGACCTTTTGAATGCCAACGCAATTAAATATGAAGAAATGTTTGTAATGTCTATACAATGCACCTATGTAATTATTAGTAGCAATCTTAAACAGATAGGGGTGGGATAATCTGGTTAGCCGAACCGGATTATCAAACCGAACCGATTTCGATTAAAAACCGAATGTAAACCGAATCGAATTTTTGGTTCGGTTACCGGTTAACCGGTTTTCAAATTATCCTTTAATCCTTAAAATTTTTCAATGTTTCATTTAAGTCCCTAAATTCAAATATTTATTATTTTATATATAATTTCGTACTATGTTTCTCTTTTATTTTATATTATTGTTGTATTCTTTGTATGAAAAATACATTAAATTACTTATTTGCAGATACTGAATCCAGAATATGAAATATAAAGAATTCAATTACATATTACTGAATAGTCAATATTCATTAATAAACTCAAATACATAACATAAAATTACAAAGTAAAAAAACTTAATATAACATAAATCATCTTCATCCCACGAAGTGTAGAGATTTCAATTTTCAGATTTAGAGGCGGAGAAAGACGAACTGTGAGGAGAAATAGAGTGAGGAGTAAAAAAAAAAAATTTTGCTTTTATATTTAGGGTAAAACTAGTTTTTGGTTAACCGATTTGAAATTTTTTTTCAAACCGAACCGGTTTTTCAGTTTTTTGAATTTCACAAACCAAACCGGTTTGTAAAAAAAGCTAATTTTCGGTTCGGTTTTTGGATTATTTATCCTACCCCTATAGACAGATGTCTTTAAACCATAATTATTAATAGCAATCCAATGCACCTGTATACTTGTTATTAATGCACATCCAACGCATCAAAATGGTTACAGCTTCATACCCGAAGTTCATGGGGAATCTCAAAAACACCCCCTCCCCCCCCTCCCCCCCCCCCCCCCCCCCCCCCCCCCGGGGTGGGTCAAATGCCCATCTCTACAAGTATGGGAAACCCCAAACTCAAGTACGGGTATAGGAGCCGACCCGAATAGGTAGAGAAAATTGCAGTGGTTTCGATGAGAATTGTGTGTGTGTGTGGTGTGTTTTTTTTAATAATAAAATAATAATTTTAATGAGTTAATTATATTGTCACCTTGAGTTTAGGCAAAAGTATTTTTTTTTTCAATTTCAGAAAATTAATTCTGGTATAAATAAAAAAGACATTTTAAAGAAAGGGTTGATAATTTTGGTCAAAGAAATGACCATTTTTACATTAAATAATCATACCAATACCAAATCTACCAATAATTTAAACCAAAGTTTTATTTTCAAACTTGCATGCACTATTTATTGAAAAGAAATTTGAAGGGTTTCATTTCTATTTCTCTGTCTTTTTATCTTCATAAATGTATTTTATTTACTATTTTTTTGAAAATACAAAATCATTTTTTTTTCCATTTACAACTAAAAACTAATAAACAAGGAAAAACAACTTTTTATTGATTTCTTTCTTCCTTTCATCATTCATTTGTCAATGCCGTTAATTTTCTTAATATTAAGGTTAATTTAATTTCTGTTATGAAATTATTAATAATTTCTCCGTATGATAATTTTTTTTTTTCTTTATCTTTGTTTTCATAACATTTTTAGATAATATTACTAAACCTATGACAATACAAATTTAACTTTGATTTTCTTTGCATATATTCGATCAAAACTAAGAATAAATTCATTGAGAAATTTAACAATTAAAGATAAGTCATTATTTTGTGATTGTAAATCGGGTAGTTTTAATGTATAATCAAACGGTTTGTTAAGGTTATTATAATACAAAATTTTAATAATATGAATACATTAGAAATTTTTTAATTTTTTTATCATCAAAAGTAAAATCACACTCATCCTCTAAGTCCTTTTCCATATATCCAATAAGGTCACATATTCAGATTATTAAAATTAAATGTTTAAATGTCATCAAATACTCATAAACCATTAATTAAAAAAAAAAAAATCTTAAACAAAACAGCAACAACAACAATAATAATCAAATTCAAAGATCAATTTTGCAAATATAATATTATCAGTAAATAAATATAACAATTGTGACATTGGGAGGTGAGCTTTAAGGGCATATAAAAAGTGAGTAATTCTACATATATCTCAAATTTGCATTCTAACTCCTGCATCCTAAGAGGTGTCATATTACTTTTCAGAACCATATCTTATACTATATGTCACATAATGGACAAGACAATCATGATTACAACCACATCATTTGATATATATCTATAAAATATAAAGTATTATTAATGCACAATTCCTATGCAAAGGTTACTATCCCAAATGTACATAAGTTCACATACAGATAAAAGAATAATGCCACAAGGATGTGCTAGACAAGAGTACATCATCAACACACCAAGTTCTATGATAAGGAGGTGGAGTGTGTGTTAGCCGATCGCGTCGTTCGACAAAAGGGCCATCCTCCAAGTCGGGAATCATTCGACTAATCCAATGGTTGAGCTGAGAATAACATTACCCCAACCCTATAGCATTTACCTAAATTGTTGCAAACTACTGCATGCGCAATAATGTTCAATAACTAATTACCCTAATTACCTGATGTGCAAGCTGGGTAGATGGGTCTCATCCGTTTTCGCCTAATATTTTGTTGTATCCTCCAATAATACAATAGCCCTTTTATTATATTTCAACTTCTCAACCTCCTTGTTCATGCATGATGCATGTAGTAATAAACTACCCCCTGTTGCCCCTTTATGAGATTTAGGCTGAAAAACAGAAGAGTGACATATAATCAGCGAAATTTACAAATCACACTAAACAATAACTTCATGCCTAACAACTACAAATGATGACTATAAATAGATCATATCTCCCTCTTCTTATTGATATCAGCTTTCCATATTTCCCAAGGATTACCCTCTAGAAAAGCAGTTGAATGTTTAATGATGACTTCTCAACTAATTGAGAATCACAGAGATGCAGCTGAGATTTACCATGGTGAAGCTCTTTGCAAGCAAAAAATTTGTGAACTGCTTGAGGAACTATGTCTTCCCAAAGGCCTCTTTCCGACAGAAATAGTGGAATTTGGCTGTAACAGATCCTCTGGATTTGCTTGGGCCAAGCATAAGAAGCAGGTGCAGCACAAATTTAAGAGCATTAACAAGAATGTCTCCTATGACATTGAAGTTGCAGCATATTTTGAGAAACGTCGCCTGAGAAATGTAACTGGCGTCAAGAGTAAGGAGCTGTTACTTTGGCCTTGGATCACCATCTCTAGTATATTCATTGAAGATCCTTCTTCAGGCAAGATCACGTTTCAGGTCTCCAATGGCATGTCTCGTATGTTACCCACTTCAGCGTTTGAGCTGGAAGAGAATAAGGTTCTTGGCCAGGAGAACTAAATCCTGACATATGCAGCCAAGCGTCACAAGAAAATAAATTTAACATAAAAATTGACATGGTTTTTAGCCGAGACTGAAACTCCTAGCAGTTTGTTAGCTAAAGTATTTGTAAGAAATTTGAAAAAAAAGAAAAAGAAAAAGAGAGAGAGAGAGAGAAGGAATTGTCATGTTAAGACTTAAGACCAGTTGTATTTACCCAGATTTAATAAGATTAAAAAAAATCTGGTATTTTACTTTATTTAACAGCACCAATAAAGCATCAAGGAATTAAAACCCAACCTGGTTGATTCAATTTGGGCATAAGTTTACAGACATGACATCTTTTTACTTCTTAAAGCAATAAGTATATAGACTCTATAGAGTATATCTTTTCTTGTGTTGCCATATCCAATATTATCTTCCAAAATCTTAAACCATCCATTAGACGGGAGTATGAGGAAATTTAGTGATTTCAAATGCTGCATAAGAACTGTTCATTATATTTCGGGAACAATATAAGATGTAACAATCTAAACCTGCAATAACTTATCCGACAATCAGATTATATGCATTGGAGGAAGTTGGAGTTAGAAGCTGAGCTTAGATTATTCTAAACATTCAACCTGGAAATGAAAAATTAAAGACAACAAAAATACCGTGAGCACTGATCTATTGCGAAAGATATAGAATACAGTGATGAAAATTCCAATACATAAATAGGATATCAAAAGTGAATCAACTGCCTACCCTAATGAACAAATCAAAATTCTGACAAATCATTGTGTGAGATGATGGGTAAAATTCAGAAGGCTTGACAGGTTGTGTCCTTCCAACACCAGGCTTACCCAGGTAATCAATTTGGTTATGGAGGGTTCAACTTATTTTCTGAAAAACATTTTTTTATAAGAATAACATACAATTTAAAGATGTCACTTCCACTTTTACTAGTTTTAAAATCTGAAATGTGTTGATATAGAATTAAAAAAAGAAAAAAAAATTCTTAAAGTATAGAAAAAAAAAAAAAAATGATCATTTTCAGATTTTTCACTAAATTATAAGATGTGTTTTAAAAGGTACCTCTTGAAAATTTCAACCAAATACATTTTAAACTCTTTTATATCCTTATTTTTAAAAAGTACAAATTGTATCCAAATTCCAAACCAAATGGGACGAATTAAAAACACATTGAGTTATAAAACATGTCATCGAGAACACTGAAGCCAAGAAGTAAAAGGTATTAATGTTTATACAAGAAGATACCTAGTTAAGGATATTAAGTTTATACAAGAAGATACCTAGTTAAGGATATTTGAAGCAATCTCCATAGAACTCAGAGAGCTTGAATTCCATCTTCATGCTCTCTCTTGGAAGAAAACTTTCAGCTCCTAATGAATGTCAATTCTCTTCTGGTTTCCTAGTCCAAACCCTCAGACATGACTGTTATCTTAGAGAAATGAGCATGTCAATTTCATGGTAGCAAGTGTGGAAACACATTAATTTACATTGAAATTTATGTGTGAACGAGTAGAAACTTATTAGAGAATTTTTATCAAATCACATAAAACTTAAACCAGGCTCCTTTTGTTAGCTCCATCTGAATGTCAATTTGTTTTTTTCTGTGTCTGATTATCACCTCAGGCATAAAAATCTCATCCCAGAGAGTCTTCAAGTTGATTTGTAATATCTGCAGAACATTGTGGAGAATTTATTATCCACCATCATCAATCCTGCCACTTCTAAGCTTTAGCAACTAATGGATGAATGATTATCTCAAAATTCTCTTCTGGTCTGGCAGTCTCCCACATCAACACCTTCATTGCAACTGAGCAGATGTCACAGTCTTCATTCCATAAGCCAAATGCTCAACACTGTTATTTGGCTATCTATTAAGATAGTATTCCTGTCAGGAGAATGGCCAACTCCTATCAGGTTGATTATCCATAGTTTGACTCCAAAATCAATCAGTCCTCAATGAATTCAAAGTGCCCCTTCTATTTTTTCTGAATCATCTTTTGATACTTTGCCATCACTAGACTGATATCTCCAGACTCCAAGTGTCTTATAATCCCAGACAATCTCAGATATCTGATCTTGAGGCAAGCTCAGGCCTTACATTTTATTGACTTATGCAAGTCACAAAAGAATTTTGGGTCTTGTAGTCTGATATACCGTGCAATATCCGCTCATGATCCGGGATCCAGTTCCTAGGAAATGGTGTGTAATCGCATGAGGAATCAATGACATGTGTGAGAACTGAACACCTTCAATTGCATCAACAAGTCCTATCCTCAAAAGATCAGAATACTCAGGCGCAGAATTGTTAGTGCTCTCCCTCAGAGGATGGCAAGATCACGAGAAGCTATCTTGTAAACTTTGGCACGAGACTTCAGTCTATACCTTGCATAAAGTTAGCCAAGAAACTACGAATTACATAAGCACAAAACCCAACAATTTTCTTTCTATTATCAGCATACCGGTACCAATCAGCCATTGTTTAAGAAACTTATTCATCTGTGAATTACTATGAGCTTGACTTGAGTAAAGCAAGGATTACAAGGCAATGGCTCAGATCCTTATCACCCTTGACAAACTGAAGTGACCTAAATCGGCGAATACATTGCTGCAAACTGCAGTAACCGAAAGCAAAGTTCCTACACCCTTCTCGCTCACAATTTTACCTCCATTCCCTGTGTACCTAAGTGTAGGGTGTATCACTCTCCTGCAAATTATATGATCAAGAACGAATTCCCCTAGTTTATTGTCAATCTCTAGTTTTGTATTATCCAACCTTATTCCAAATTTTCTCTCACAGAACTCAATATTTCCTTCCTGATTCCACAGCATCCTCTCTGGGCCCTCGAATACCAATCAGAAAATGACCCCCATATAATATAATCCATTTTCCTTGTCTTCTCCTCCACTCGATGGAACAAACTCCGGCCAAGCGGGGTTATGACACCATCATTTATCGAATCTTTCCATATTGAATCAAGCTTATTAGGCTGAAAAAAACTCAAGTATTTTCTCCTCCATCATTTGATCCAATTCATTAAGACACACATTAGAAGTAAAGGACTCAAATCCCACAATGACAATAAGACGGTACCTTAGCAGCTCCTCTGGCGCAAAATAAAAAACGTTCGTAACCAATAAGGGTTGGTTTTGGCTCATGTCTTCAAATCTTCTTCTTCGTAGCACCCTTTTTCTTCTTCTTCTTTTCCTTATGCAAATCTTCATTACCATCATCACTCCGAATCCGATACTTACCCGATTCTTTAAGTCCCAATTTGACTAAATTCAAGATTTTCTATATCTCACAGCCTTTTCAACACAACTTAAAAACATCAGATGGAACATAGCAAGAAGTTCAGTTAATCACCTCTCAAAAACCACAAGTAACCAGCAAAGTACCCCTAATAGTTCTTATAACCGTATGAGCATTTCTTCCTGGCCGAAACGCGTGAGATTTCCCGAAAATCGGGGCTCAAAAACCGGTTCAAGCACCATAAGCAAGACCTCTGAACCACCCGGTCCTGAAAACACGGCTCGTCTGACTCAAGAATCGCTTTAAGTTTCGTTTTCGAGACGGGTTTCGTAAACGGGGCGTCGTTTGGATTCCGGATGAGTTGGTGAGTTTTGTCGTGCCATTTGAAGGATGAGCGAAGTACGGATCGTTGGAGAGAGAGGAGAGAGTGGATAGTCTGGGAGTGAATGGCATTACGAGGAGGGAACGTGCCGGTCACGTGAGCGAAGCTCGTTGGTAAGCGAGAAGCCAGAGATCGAATTTGGAGAGGAAGCCTGAGAGGTTTGGAAAGGAAAAAGAGGGTGGTGAAGAGAAATTTGACCCAGACAGAAAGAAGAATTTCGATTGGGTCTTGCTTGAGGAGAGTGTAGGGATCTTGTAGGTGTTTGGTGTGGGTTTTGTATTGGGGTTGGATTTGGTGAGTGGAGAGGAAGCAAAAGAGCGAGAGAGAGCTACGGAAAAAAGGGAGGGAAGGTGTTTGATAATTGGTCTCAACGACATTTTGCCGGTTAAGTGATTCATCATAGGGTCATTCGAATGTGTTTTTGGCGAAAATTGGTGAGCGTGAAACGCAACATGGATTTTGAATCTACTGATAAGACCGTGAGTTTGTTCGTTCTGTACGATTGCTCCATCAATTGGATTATGGGGCGTCGGTGGAGAGCCCACATGCGAGCATGAAAGTGAGGCTGGATTAAAGAATAAGTCTGAATTTTTCAGGCCTGGATTTATTCTAATTCTTATTTGAAAGTTACAGGTCAAGCCTTCTCATGCCCAATCAAATTAAATTGCCCCAACCATCGGAATAAGTTGGCTTTATTTGACGTAAGTCATTTTAAACTATTATATCCTCCCAATAAGCAAATTAACCTTTATAAAATGAAAATGAACAGATTTTTTATATTTCTTTTCTACTTTTTTATTTTTATATGAGAGATTAAGAGCTAGTAACTGTCTAATGAAAGTCTGGCTCTCACATTTTTATAAAATTTTGACATAATTTTTAAATCATTATGTTGTGCAGATCTTTTGGACAACCAGATTCGTGTCACTTGTCCTTACGCCATGCTAAGATCTGACGATTACCAACCCATGTGTCGCCCCCACAGCAAATGACATCAGTAAGCTCATCAATACTAAGCTGGGTGTTGAGACTTAAGTATGGGAGGTCTGACTCATATCCGAATACAGTGGGATTAGCATGTAATCCATCTTTTAACAACCACTCCCAACCACTGTCAGAATGAGTGTATAGAAAAGAGATGTCACCTTCGTTTTGGGAGATCAATTATTCACACAAGAAATTTACTTGTTTTTTCTTTTGTTACTTTGTGTGTAAACAAATACAAAACAATAATATAGCAGTGGACGTAGGCTGATTCTTATCGGTCGAATCACTTTAAAAATCGTCTATGTTCTCTTATCGCCTCTTTACTAATCTATTCCTAAGCTAATTATTCTTAATCATGAACACATCTTGACAATCCCTCAAGGTCGA